GATAAGCCGGGGTGGTTACACAGATGCTGTTTTCTACATATTCTCCTTCTTTTTCTTCTTCCATATGCAGCAACAACAACTTGCAGTGATGATGAAGCAATTCCTTCCTTGGCCAGCAAGATTTTTGCTACAGGCTCCTTCTGATTGACAGCACAACAGCTTGTGCAGCAACAACTTGGCAGTAGAGCAGCTGCCAATTCTTATTCCTCAATTGAGTTTGCTGCTGTGGAATTCATCTATTTGAGATCATGTGCCATCAATCTTCCTTCTTCAGTAAGGATTCCTCCGCTTCCTTCAGCTCTGGTCGATCCTCCAGTCGTTGATTTCCAGCAGCTTCCATTCTGGTCATTTTTTATGCTCTTTTGTGCAATTTAGCCCCAATTTATGCTAATTTTTCACATTGGCCCTCCGATCACCCTGAAATGCAATATCAACCTAAAAGTAAACTAATTTTATCTAAATTACACCTAATTCTAAGTAAAGATGAGCAGAAAATGCAAAATCACTGTTCATACTTAATCATCACTCTTTTTCAAATGACAGGATTCTAGAGTTTATTAGGACACATGTTAATCATCCGTTTGTAAGAAATGTTAATTCTATTGACTTTCATTCTTCTAATCATGTAAACATTATGAATAATGCCCTTTGGTATGTTAGATTTGGACATCCTTATGAAAAGATTGTAAGAAGTCTTTGCTTCTTTGATTCCTCAGAAAATAATACTTCTGTTTGTGAAATTTGTCCCCTGGCAAAACAACATCGACTTCCTTTTCCCACTATTATTATTCAAACAAATGAAACTTTCGAACTTGTTCATATTGACATATGGGGATCATATAGCGAAAAATCACACTGTGGAGCACTCTATTTCCTAACCATAGTAGATGATTATAGTAGAGCCACATGGACTTTTCTCATGAGACATTAATCTCAAACTTTCTCTCAGATAAAAACTTTCATCAAACTTATCCAAACATAGTTCCAAAAATCCCTGAAAACCATCAGAACTGACAATGGCTCAGAATTTCTTAGCCAGGAATGTCATGCTTTATTCTCAGACTTTGGCATCATTCATCAATGGTCTTGTGTGTACACTCCACATCAAATGGAGTTTTGGAGAGGAAACACAAACACCTTCTCCAAGTGGCAAGTGCACTTCTTTTCCAATCAGGCTTACCAAAAACCTTTTGGGGGATACCATTTTGACTGTTACATACCTTATATATAGATTAGCATCTTCAGTCCTTGAGGGAAAAACACCTTATGAAATTCTTTTTTCCAAGCTGCCTGATTACCACCACAATAGATCTTTTGGATGCTTGTGTTTTTCCACTAACACAATTCCTCATAAAACCATATTTGAACCTAAAGTAGTCAGGACTGTGTTTACTGGAGATCCTCATGGACAGAAAGCCTATAAGTTGTTTGAACCCATTACCAAAAAGGTGATCATATCCCGAGATGTGGCTTTCCATGAAAGTGTTTTTCCATATAAGACATCCAAAACCACAAGTCAACCTCCTTTCCTTCACAATTCTTATATTGATGAATCTTGGTCTACCTGTACCATAGATGATTTCTCTCATACAACATGTCATTCTTCTTCTCCACTCATCAATCATTCATAGAATGATCATAAAGATTATACACTAAATCCATCTCCTGATCATCATGATCCTGCTCCTGATCATGAATTTAATCCTGATCCTGAACCAATTCACACATCTCCACTCAGAAGAAGTTCTAGAGTCTCCTAAGAACCAGTGTGGATGAAAGATTATGTGTCACATCATGTGAAAAAAAAGTCAACTATTTTTTATATTTCAGTAAATCAAGTCAGCCATGCTACATATACCTATCAACCAAATTTCTCTAACCATCATTTAGTCTTTCTACCCCAACTTGATAGCATCACAGAACCAACAACCTATATTCAAGCCAGAACTTGTCCAGAATGGATAGCAACAATGTAAAATTAATTAAATGCTTTAAAAGAAAATCATACTTGGGATTTCTATCTAGACAACTCAATTGTTTGGAGTATCCAAGCCAAAAAAAAGTAGAAAAGCCATACAAATCTTGGCATGTTTTGAGCAAATTAGTATATTGCCTTCTTTATGTAGATGCAGAAGTCCATGAATTGAAACGGTATTGATAAAGTATAGTGGTGACAATGAGCATAGCTGAAGCTTAAAATTACTAAAATTTTGGAATTAAAAGGCAAACTTTGTTTGTTTCAGTACTAACTCCGATGTAAAATATTTCCGAGTTCAATAGGAAATCTAAGCATAATCAATACAGAACAAATCACGTAGTTGCTTATTAGATTATCCCGATTTTGTTGGCCAAATCAAATGAATCATTGTCAGGCATCAACCGCACATATGCCATTTAGGTTCCACCAGGCCTGAGATGAGAAAAACAAGAACCGATAAAAACAGATGCAACCACATGAACATGCATCATTATCTGTGGAATTCAGACTGTCAGTTGCATCAAGTTGAACAAATAGAAGCACAAAAAAAAAGAAGCACATGAGTGCTATCCATAATCATTCATCTGTCCTCAGAAATATGTTTGCTCTTCTTGTTTGTAAGTACTGAATAATGTCGACCAATAATCTCAAATGACCTTGAATTAAACTCCCTTACTCTTACTCCCTCCTATTCTTCTTAAATAAACAAAATGAACATAAAAGTGCGTACATAGAAGACCTTAATAATGACCTAAGTTTAATTGAAAGTGCAACTAAACAGATAAGTTGTACACTATCACATTTATAAATGGAACTACAACTACTAAAACTTGTGGACTATGCATAATTACATTTTCAACTAAAGATGCTGCAACATTATTCATAGCGCCATACCACTAACTATCTCATTTTAATCTAGCCACAATCCAAGCTTTTTTATGTTCTGGATTTCATCCAGGGAAAGGGGAACGAGTTTAGGTAAAATGAATATCTAATTTGAGAACAAAACCACTCGAATGAAATTCAAACATGATGGAAAAAAATGAACAAAAAAAAATCCTTACCTGATCAAAGTATTAACTTTCTTGGTCTGGATATCATACATTTTCTTGACAGCATCCTTGATCTTGTTTTTAGCACAAATGTCCACAATGAAAGCAAAGGTGTTGTCTTTAATTTTCTTCAATTTCGTTTGTTCCTTTTAGCAAAGGGTTTTCCTCTATCTCTGGGCAATGCTGGTTGTAAGCCATGATCAGGAATATATGAAGTTTTTTGTGTTTTTGAAGGAAGACCATCTCATTTAGATACATGTGCCTCGTATCACTTGGGCCTCCAATGAAAGAGGTAGGTAAACACATCATGCAACCTGAGTTTGAAGCCTGGGTTCATTGATGGAATCACATTTACAAATTTGAATCTAATTTCTATTTTGCTCAGATTATTCAGATTTTCATGAATGGATTTCTCACCGAATTCAAAAAAGCACAACCCTAATATTGCAATTCAAAGCCATACTCTAAACACACACACACACTATAAACCTTCCACTCCATTTTACAGAGACAACAATATGCATCCTAATCATACACAAGTCAACCAAAAAAAAATTTACAATTCAGAATCAATCCAAGGACATACTGCTCTAACACACAAAAGAATAAAAAAAAACCTCAATTTTTTAAAGTCAGATGCACACCTTAATCATTGCAGATAAATGAAAACAAATCTAATGAAAAGAACAATACCATTTCATTGAAATCGGTCGATTCAATAACCTAGCACACATTAAGAACACAAGATTACTTCGAGAGCTCCGACGAAGTTAACCCCACATTAGCTCTAAACAGCTTGCTTCTACCATTCTCACTGCTCTTCCACTAAGCAATCTCTCTCAATCAAATTAGATTGTCTCCAAAATCAAAATGACAATAACCTCTCTGTTATGAATCAAATGCCTTATGAGAAGCAAATCATGAAACCCTACCTCCATCTGGCCATCATGGCCAGAAATCATTCAAGCGAAGCCCCCACTGGGCTTCCCCCAACCTTTGCGAGCCTTTTCCATACGCTCTCTACTAATAAGCAACCAAAAGGAACCCTAATTAAACATGTTACTTTTATAAATGGTACCACCGTTATTGAATACGAAGATGAAGAATATGAGCGCCTAATAGCCCCTCACCAATTAAGTTTGGTTGGGAAGTTTTCCTATGGGCGATTGAAGATGGAAGAAATCCATGAGTTCAAGAAGATTGGATTTCATGGAACATATATATACATTAGGGTTGATGAACCCTAGGCATGTATTAATCCGTTTTGAAAGGGAGGATGACTACCAGCATTGTTGGATGCGTACTTTTTGAATATAGCAGGATTTTTTATGCGGATCCTTAAATGGAAGCCGGGTTTCAAGTTCCAAGAAGATCCATCGATTGTCCCAATATGGGTGTCTCTACACCATCTCCCAATTGAGTTTTTGAATCCTGAAGTTATTTTTTCAATGGCTACGGCGATTGGTAAGCCACTAAAGGTTGATGCTCTAACCCGTAATCTCACACGGCCATCAGTGGCTTGTTTTTGTGTTGAAGTAGATCTTATGAAGGATTTTCCAAAGTCTGTTAAGGTTGGGAGAAGAGGAAAAAAGCATGAACAACTCTTCACGTATGAGCATGTCCCGGCCTATTGCTCAAAGTGTTGTAAAATTTGTCACAAGTTGGATGATTGCAAGAAGTGAGTTGAAAGAAAACCAGTTAAAGGGACTATGGTTTCCAAGGATCCACAGCCGAAAAGTATACTAAAAAAACTTGAAAACCCTAAACTTATTCCGAAAAGTTCAAGTGTTGTAAGGGCCAATGGTTCCTCCTCTGGCCTGACGGAGAAGGAGAAGGTAGACATCCCTATTGACATACAAGATTCCCCTATGAGAAACTTGCCGGAAACATCTGATGATCAGCAGTAGCAACGGGAAAAGCCTGCGGCTTCTATTACTGAGGCTGCGATCGCAACTAAGGCTGCGACAGAAATGGCAGTGGTGGAAACGGATAAAAGTACTTTGGTTAAATGTTTTGATGTGCTAGAATCGCTAACTGAAATGGAAACAGGATCGCCGCAGGTTCAGAAGATTATAGAAGTTGAAAATTTGACAGTGGCTGATGTTGAATTGGAGGTTGCGACCTTGGCTAGGGTTGCGCAGGGGGGTATGATAGTGGTTGCGCAGGGGGGTGCAACTCAGGTTGACCTTGGAGCTTCGATAGCGACTGCTACTGAAGCTACGAATGTTGATTGACCAACAATACTCGAATCTGTTGATAATGAGAAACAAGATGCTAAGAAGGGTGGTGCTGATCCGCCGTGGCTGGATACAAACACTTCTCAGTCGGAAGAAACTGAAGGCGCACAAATTGGAAACTGTAATTTGGCTCACCTCACACTTGTGACACTGGACATAGTTCACTGATGCCAGTGGGATACTCCGATGATGGTGACGTTGGAAAATACACAGAGGATATGGTGCTTTGTGATGCTGAACCGAAAAGCTGGTCCGAAGGAGATGTTGGCGAAAACGACTCATTCACATGAACCCGTGCAGGGAGAGGTTTCAGCTGCAAAGAAACGTGGTCGAATGCCAAAATCTGAGATGTTAAAGTCTTAGGATAGCATTGTTCCGTGGAGATCATCTCGGTTATAGTAATACTGATTCAAATTTTTATCATTTTTTCATTGATAGGTCAACTGATATGGAACATTAGAGGAATTAAGAATCAAGCCTCTCAGCACCGTTTGAAGACATTAATCCGAATGTATAAGATTTCAGTTTTGATTATTCTTGAACCGATGTTGGTGAAGACCAAGTGTGATGAAATAAGGCAGGAATTAGGGTTTGATGCGGCCTTTTCTTCTGATACTAGTAAGATATGGGTTTTTTGTAGGAAGGAATTCACAGTTTCCTTCATTGAGGGTAATGATCAGGTTCTTCATTTTAAGGCAACTCATGGTTTGGTCCTTGGAAAATTTTAGTTCTCGGCTATCTATGCAAAGTCCAATAGAATATATTCTTGGAAAATTTTAGTTCTCGGCTATCTATGCAAAGTCCAATAGAATATATAGGCAAGCTTTATGGCAAAGTATGGTCGAGTATAGGTAAAAAAATTTAAATTCTCCATGGATGGTAGGGGGGGGGGATTTTAATGTTGTCCGGTCATTGGATGAATATTTAGGGGATTCGGTTCAAGATCATGCCGTGATGACGAATTTTAATGAATGCATTGAAGCTTGTGACTTGTTGGAAATGTTTCCGGTCGGTGAAGAATATACATGGGGAGGAACAAGAAGCACTGCGTGGGTTTGTAAAAAGTTGGATTGGGTGTTGTTCACTAAAGAATGGCATGATTTCTTACCAGCCTCCTCAGCTGAAAATCTAAGTCGTTCCACTTTAGATCACTGCCCTATTTTGCACTTAGTAGCCCCACATCATGAGAGTAAACCAAAGGTCTTTCGGTTACAAAAAAATGTGGCTGCAGATTGATGATTTCATGATGGTTGTCAAAGAATGTTGGGACCAGCCTATTTTTCAATCTAGAACGCTAGGATTTTCTATTAAACTTTGGCGCTTGAAAACTAAGTTGAAGGAGTTGAATAGGAATGTGTTTGGAGATGTTTTTGAAAATCTAAAAAAAGCCGAATGTAATGTCCAGCAGCTTGAAAGCCTGTATGATTCCACTAGGCTGGAAAATGATAGAGTTCGACTGAATGTTGCAAAGGCTAGCCTGCTTCAAAGGTTAGAGGAACATGAAGATTTTTGGGATAAAAAAATGAAGGTTAAGTGGTTGAAAGAAGGTGATGCTAATACTTCTTTCTTCCATGCTTCTTTGAAAGGGCATAGAGTGCGGCAAGGACTCTTTAAAATTCAGTCCGCGGATGGTACAATGCTCAGCGATTTAGCTGGTATAGAGCACAAAGCTGTTCGTTTCTATAGGGCTCGTTTGAGAGATGATGAAGAGCATCAGAATGTTGTTGAAGCTCAAAATGTTTTATTGGATCATATACCTTCTACATTGGGTGTTGATGATAGTACTATCCAGTTGAAGGCTATTAGTCTTGATGAAGTTAAAGAGGCGGTTTTTAATCTAAGTGAAGATTTGGCTCCGGGTTTTCATGGATTTGGAGGGGACTTTCTATCGGAGTTGTTGGGACATAATTGCCAATGATCTTTTGAGTGCTTACAAAGAATTTATGCTTGGCATTCCCTTTTCAAGATACATTACGAGTACCTTGATTACGTTAATTCTGAAGAAAATGACGGTTAGTACTTTCTTAGATTATAGGCCAATCAGCCTTTGTAACTTCTTCAATAAGGTTTTACAAAGATCTTAACGGAGAGGCGGAAGATAATATTGCCCAAAATAATCTCTAAGGAACAATCAGCTTTTCTGGAAGGAAGGGACATTGTTGATAATGTGATGTATGCTCAGGACGTGTGTCAATTCCTTGGCCGTAAAGCTGAAGGTAGCAACTTGGTCTTAAAATTGGATATGGCGAAAGCCTTTGATAGGGTTAAATGGAACTTTTTGGAGAAGGTTATGTTGAAATTTGGCTTCCCGCCTCACTTTGTTGGATAGATAATGACTAATCTTTGCAGTAGGAGGTTTTCGGTGATGATAAATGGTAGTCCGGTTGGCTTCTTCCAATCAACAAGAGGAATTAAAGAAGGGGATCCATTATCCCCATATTTGTTTATAATTGTGTCAGAAGCAATGATTAGACGATTGAATCATCTTGTAAGCAGTGGTGCTGTTGCAAACTATGAGACTCCAAGGGGATCAATGGTGGTTTTGCATTTGGCCTTTGTTGATGATCTTATTGTCTTCTCAAGAGGGTTAAAAAGGTCGCCGAGAACGTTGAATTCATTCCTTCAAACTTATGAGCAAGCTTCGGGTCAAAAGGTCAACCGTCAGAAAAGTGCGTTTATGGTGGCAGAAAATTATTGTGCAAGAAGGGTTGGTATTATCAATCGAACACTTGGGATACAAAAGGGTTCTTTGCCATTTGTTCACCTAGGGTGTCGGTTGTATCAAGGGCGATGAAAAGCGTCCACCTTCCAATTTCTATTGGATAATATGGATGCTAGGATATTGGGTTGAAGGAATAAACTTTTAAGTTCGGGGGGCTGGCTTATTCTAATAACACATGCATTGTCCTCAATTCCAATACATGTCTTCTCAGCTACTCCACCACCAAAATCTGTGTTACGAGAAATGGAAAAGAACTATCAGCATTTCTTGTGGAAAGGTTCAACTGACATTAGCCCCCGATATTGGAGGTCTTGGGAGAGGATTACATATCCAGTTTCAGAAAATGGCTTGGGTGTGCGAGATTTTCAAGGAGTCATTGATGCTCTGACAGTTAAAAGGAGGAGTTTTTGTTTTCTCCAAAAACATGGCTTAACAGTGTCATTTTCTCTAAGTGGTGTCGTTTTGTGATTCTAACTTTTTGCCAAAAAGTAAATGGAAAAGAATTGCATTTTGCAATGACAAATTTATCCTCACTTAAGTTGTGCCCATCAAACAAAATTGAACCGTTGGATTAAAACCACTCAACCAGTATGATTGCTAAATTAGAGCTCAAATTCTAGGCTTAAGAAACGTTTACATTACCTTTTAGATTATAAAGAAAAATTTTATTAATAATCGTTTTGGCACCTTCAATAGCATTCTACTTTCATCAAGTTCTTAACTTCCTTATCGCTTTGAAGTCCGTTCTGCAAAAAAATGTCAAATGGATAGATTTAAAGCAAAAATTGTAAAGCAAAAAGAACCCAACACCAAGAGAAACAAAAACCACACACATGGTCAGGTGCTCAAAAATCTTCATCGAATTATGTACAAAAAATTGTAAGCTTAATAAAAGATGCAAATTCCCAACGATTAATTGTACTTTGAGTTTGATATGTATCGGGAACATAACTAAGATATCAAGCTATAAAGACACACATCAATTTCTGCCATTTATTAACATTAGAATTCACCAAAAGTAATAAATTAGAAGAAATGGGATTACTGGAGACAAAGAATCCCATATCGGTGTCGTGAAGGATCTGTCACCTGTTTATAAGCTCTAAAGACCACGCCACTCATAGCCAATTGGTTTTGAGATAGGAGCCTAAGATGACTTTGACATGATATCACATCCCACAATTTGTGGACTTGTGATAACTATGGACCCGTGGGTGCGGGCTTGTTGACTGACCCGACAGTATATCCAGAGTGTGGACCCATGTGTACGGACTTGTTGACTGATCCGATAGTATATTCTGGATTTATGGACTGACCTAGCAGTATATCTGGTGAATTATCTTGTGTTGTGTAACTCCAATGGGCTAAATACTCCATTGGGCTAAAGTGGGGTGCCCACACGATCGATGGACCTGTGATAACTATAGACCCGTGTGTGCGGATTTTTGGACTGACCCGACAGTATATTCGGAGTGTGGACCCATATGTACTAGTTTTTTGAGTGGCCCGGTAGTATTTCTGGAGTTATGGACTGACCCAACAATATATCTGGTAGATTATGTTGTGTTGTGCAACCTCAATGGGCTAAATACACCATTGAACTTGAGGGTGTGTTGCGCAACTCCAATGAGCTAAATACCCCATTGGGCTTGAGTAGAGAGCCCACACAATCGTTGGACTTGTGATACCTATGGATCCGTGTGTGCGAGCTTGTGGACTAACTCAACAGTATATCCGGAGTGTGGACCCGTGTGTACGGGCTTCTTTACTGGCCCGGTAGTATATCCGGAATTATGGACTGACCCAACAGTATATCAGGTAGATTATGTTGTATTGTGCAACCCCAATGGACTAAATACCCTATAGGGCTTGAGGGAGGGTGTTGGGATGAAGAATCCCACATCGGTGTCATAAAGGATCTCTCACTTGTTTATATGCTCCAAAGGCCACCTATCACACATTTCGGGTTATACGTGGTCGGGTCAAGTCCGATCTTCACTTAGGGCCAACGATTTGGGGGAGAACGCTGCATTTCGATGGCTTCTGGAAGAAGGAGATAGCTCATCCATGCATGAGCGTGATTGAAGCTTCCTGGAAGTTGTTGAAGATTCTTCACGATGCAGCTGCATAAAGTAAGCAGTAAAACTTAGTTTCTTAGCTTTAAATTAAGTAGTATTTAAGCAACTGATGTACTGTGTTGCTGACTATGAAAATGAATATCAAAATCTTTGCTTAATCTTTCTGTTTTTCGTTTTTATCTTTGTTGTTTGTTTTC